GTGTGGTTAAAGAAATGTTCCACTTCCCTGGCTGGTGGCTCTCCAGGAAACGCTTTGCACTCAACACTGTGTTCTTCACAAAACCACAAACACACTCAGTCATTCATAACATCTAGGTAACATGAGACTAAAGACAGACTTTATCTCAATTTCCGCCTTTTATACTGTGTTCTCACAGAATAAGATGGATCTTACCGCCATCAGCATGGCCACAGTCATGGGTCCCACTCCACCAGGCACAGGGGTGATGAAGCCGGCCTGCTCCTTGGCTGAGGCGTAGTGGACATCTCCCACCACCCGCTTCCCACTTGCTTTAGTCTCATCTGAAAGACATGGAGAGAAACTTTGAGGTAAATACCACGACTGAAGCAGACTGTAAAGCCTCGGTAAGGCAGAGTCTGACCTGGAATGTGGTTGATGCCACAGTCGATGACCACAGCTCCCTTCTTGATCCACTCTCCTTTCACCATCTCTGCTTTCCCCATGCCGACAACCAGGATGTCTGCTTTGCCCACCTGGACAAAAACAGCGATAAATTAAAAAATCTGGGAAGACATGACGTTATTGTTTGTGCCACACGATGGCAGCAGGTATCTGTAATACCCAACATGTTGTTTACAGAGTTTCAGTGGTCACATTATATGCTCTGCTTGCATTGGTGTGGGAGCACATATAGACAAATGTGAATACAATCCTGTGACTATATTGCTGGGCTGGATAGAGATGTTACTGTTGTACCTCTCCAGCGAGATCAGCGGTTTTAGAGTGGCAGGTGGTGACGGTGGCGTGGTTCCACAGCAGCAGGTCGTGCATCGGTGCGCCCACAATCTTGCTGCGCCCAATCACTACAGCTCTCTTCCCTGCCACAGACACACCTGTAGAGAAGCGGTCAATCCATCAAGTCATTTTTGCCTCATTCGATTCTTTATATTTTCATGGCACATGTTTATTTTAACCTTGTAACAGCTGTTTTTAGGGTGATGAATGCTGCATTTACCAGTCTGTTTGATCAACTCCATGCAGCCGTTTGGTGTGCAGGGGATGAAGCAGTCGCCCAGGTCCCCACGAGACAGCTTCCCTGCATTGATGCTGGTCAGCCTGTAAATGGATCAGACACATTGGGCATTGAAAATTAAAATAAACATGAGATTTTTCTTTTACCAGGCTTAAAGGAAGCAAAGAAAAACAAATAAAAACCTTAAAAATGAGCACCCTGATCTTCAGATTTATATCTATACCTACCCATCTACATCCTTCTCTGGGGCCACAGTGTTGGTGACCCTCTCTGTGTTGATCTTGTGGATTGAGTCTAAAGGCAGCTGCACGATGAGACCGTGGATAGATGAGTTCTCATTCACCTGTGTGATGCTGTGAAGAACCTACGGACAGACAGACAGCCTTTACACTCTCATATACTCTCAGTCTGCCATTTATCACGTTAGCCTTACAATTCTTGTTTTGTTATGGCACCAGTAGCACCCATGTGCCAAACTTTACCCTGATCTTGATGCATTGAAAATCATCTGCCAGCAATGTTAGGTTCTAAAACATCACCAGTGAAATTGGGAGATTTATCTAGCATTTTAAGCCCTTTTCATACTGCACTTAGCCCCAGGCTAAGGCCGCTATTAGCCTGGGGCTAAGAGAGCTGTAGGAGCGGGAATGTGTATTTAACCTCTGTTTATTATTTGTTCCGGGTGCACACGTTCTTTTAGTCACTTTCACTTCCTGTAGTTGTAATTGTCACAAGGGTGGGTGTGGTTTCACTTACAAGAGCGTTCACACTGGCACAATCGTAGCATTTTCCAAGGGGGCAAAGCTGGACATTAGCCTCTGAGCTTACTGGCCCTGCTCCGGAGCAGGGTTAGTTCGTGGGGTTATCCACAGAAAATTTACTTAACCTGGGACTAAAAGTTACCAGTGTGAAACTGGGCTACGTAAACAATAGAATTTTGGAAAGTTTACATGAGTTACATGTTCCAGTGGACTTTTAACCCCAGGGCTAGTAGAAGGCAGTGTGAATCTTATGAACTTAGGCTAGGTAAACAATTTGTATGCGTGTTAAAAACGCTAAATTAGCCCTGGTCAACTCTTATCCCCAGGCTAAGCAGCGTAAAAAGCCCATTACTGTGTGTGTACAGACAAATAAAAGGCTGTTACACTAATACTTTAAGTCCATTCTCACCTCCTCCTCTGTAGCAGTCTTGGGAAGCCTCATATGTATGGCATTTATTCCAATCTGTGAACACAGAAGATGAGATCAGGCTGGAACGTAGGACAGATTGTAAACAGCTTACAGCTGAAGCGGGTTGTATGTACATTATGTAAATGATGTTTTTACCTCTGCTGCAGCCTTCAACTTCATGCTGATGTACAGATTTGAATCATCGCGGTCTCCAACCTGCAAAGACACATAGCATCACATCACCTGCCTGTATAAAGGTATAGGGCTCCTACCTTACACATACACATGTGCTAATGACAGGGCACTTGCATAAGACTGTGTACCCCGGCACGCTCTGGTTACAATCTTACACTTACCTGTAAAACCACTAGACCGGGTCTGAAGTTGGGGTCCTGAAGCTTCATCTGCTCCACATCCTTCTTCAGACGTGCCCTCACCTGCCTGAGAACACAAGTCAACTGAGTAAAACCCAACTGGATTTTTAATGTCTGTGCAGTGACAGGACCATATGGAACACAAGCCACAGGATACTCCTGGTCCTTGCAATGATTACAGGCTTTGTGCCAAATGCATGCCATGTCGCTATCTCTTTATGAAACTGGTCATCATTTGTCAATCCCCGGCTGCAGTGGTGTGGTAGTTCATGAGGCGGGTGTACTACTATGTAGATGGGTATATTACCGAGAAGGGAGTGGGTATACTCTCCTATATTTCAATGGCTTTTTGGCTGATAGGTGGTGAACAGCCAGAAAAAGAGGTGGTTATACCCCTTATATCCTCCACCCCACTGCTGCCTAACTGTCAGACTCCACTTCATATGCAAATCCAGGGCATCAAAGAGTCACTTGAGGAAAATCTTATCTTCCAATGAAAGACAAGACGGCCAGCAGTGACACACAGTCACTGGACTTTAATTTAAAGCATTAAAATCTTTTTTAGGATCTAGCATGTCTAAACAAAGCTCGACCCTGTCTGCATTTCTTTAGAATTCTATTAACACAATCAATCATAGCAAGTCAGGTTTCTTTATCTTGTCCACCGCGTTACTCAAAAAGCTCTTGAAACTTTATTATTTAGGTACATTATTTTACATATGACCTGCACTATGTTGCTTTTTATTTCATCACAAAAGGAAGCCAGAGAAAGTAAGGGCTGTCAATAAAAGTATATCTCATTCTCAGACTTCATAAAAGCAGTTATTGGCCTGTAACATGTTGCATCATAACAACACTGTCATTACAATGATCAAACAGCATGCTGGGATACCTTCCTAGTCACTGATCAACTAGGGCCATATTCCTGTACACACTCTTACAATTCAAAGTACTGCTGCGATTTGATTACGGCCCCTGTGTCAATAGTGAGGCTTTACAGAACACACTTAAGAATAACAGGTTGGAGAAAACTACATATCCTGAAAGGCAAGGAAAATTTCATCAATAGACCTCTGTCCATAAGGGTCACTTGTCCAGAACAATCAATGGTATGCCAGCTTTTGTAAAGCCTCTGAGATAATGAATGCAAATCCTCCTATTGAAGTCACTGCGGATTTAATTTATCTAATGAGTACTGTGAGGGGCAGCTAACAGGGTGCAGGCTGTCATGTCTTGTGACAAGCACATGCAACTAAATAAGGTTTTGTCTCTTTGCCAAATGCATTCTCCCAAACTTTTGGGCGTAAGCAATATTTGGATTCATTCAAACTATTAAAAACATAAGAAACCAATTTGCAGATTGCAGTCAAATATTAAGACAGTGACAATGCAGGATTGTTAAACAGTTTCATGAGTGGTGTACTTGAGGTCACTGGACCAGCAGGGCAAAGATCACACCACACTACCACAGCTGCTTACATAACTTAATCCTGAAGAATTTGCAATCATTCATTCCCAAGTTTATGGATGTCAACCAAATTATAATTTTGACAGTCATAAGTCAGTGCAATAAGTGTGAACACTAAACTAATCTAAAGAATAGTCAGAAGACAAATATCTCATGCAACTTGACAGAGAGATCACTGTAATTTCCCCAGCTAACCTTAGCTATCCATAACAGTAAAAAGAGCTGGCACACTTCAATCACGTGGGCAGCATCATGAACAATCAATTCAGACTAAGTTATGAAATCTTGCTCTGCTGACGCCAGCACACCAAAAAAAGCTATTTCTCGAAACAGATGTATGTAGAACGTGCACAGTCATGCACAGAAGTAGTTTTATGACTCAAGTGACATTAACTTTAGCTGTACGGTAACCTTTTACTCAGAGGGCTAGTTAGCTGACTAGTTAGCAAGTAGACAGATGTGTCGTCAGACTGGTTAACGTTCCACTTATTTGGCTCTATGTGCATGAATACACGTGCTGGGTAAAAATTGTCACTTACGCTGAAACCTCTTTCCCGCTTATGATTTGGGCTGACATCTTCTGGTCCCGAAAGTCCGTGTTTTAAGGTGCTGCTGCTGTCTCCCGGCACACTCGCTGCCTGACAAGAAGGGGCGCGCGGTCAATGCTGCCAAAAAAAGTTTGTTCAAAAAGCGTGCGGACTCAAAGGTGGTGGCGCAGGCTCCATTCACAAACCCAGCGCTACGGCTGAAAATCAGCGTAGTGACTTTCGAGAATAGCGTCAAACGTAGAGCGTAGCCTCGCGAATGGGCATGACGACGGAGAAGGGCGTGGCTATAACCGAACTGTCAACTCTGGCAGCCAATCATATGCCTACTACAACATGTCGCTAGAGCTTCACAGCCAATAGCATTCCCAGTTCTACAAGGGATGTGAGAATGGGCGGGACTTCAGAGAGCGCCGAGGAACCTGCAGAGGGCAGTACTGTATTTACACACCACGTATGTTATCCGTTCAAAATAACCACAACATTGTTTATACGGGTCCAATTTGACGCTTTAACGGGACTGTTTTGATCCATGTCATCATTCCGTTAACACCAGAAAGTGCTAGAGAATACTTTACGTACGTTTGTGGCTTTAAATTCGTTGTAAAGACATGAAGAAATACAGAGAGCTATGGAGAGTAGATTCTGTGTTATGAGGGACACCGAAGACCTCCAAACGCTGAGTTCAAACACTGACAGCAGTCTCCACTTCGAAAGGTAAAGTGATAGCAGCTGCTAATTTGTTAAGCTAGCAGGTTTATAGGGCTATGTCTACGTCCTGGAGAATAACTGGCCGCTTACGTTGCTTGTCATTTCGTTGCTTGTGTGTTTTGTTGATGCAAGCTAACTTGGATGTAACGTTATTCGCGTAGCCTTTGTTTGGTTGTAAAGCCGCCGCCGTCCATCAACATTATCGGTGCATCATCTTCAACTACTTTTGTCTAGTCCTCTGCTAACTCAGATGCATGTGTCTCTATAGGTCTAAGACACTGTTTGAAGAAATCCGTGCCTCCATCAACAACAATGACGAAGAGGACCGCTCCTTCTGGAGGCCTGTGCTCCCTTGGGGTGGCGTCTTTACCATCAAAGCAGGGCGGAAGGCCATATCATGCACTCCTCTGTACGTCCAGATCAACCTCAAAAACACCTGCACCATCGATGGCTTCCTCATGATCCTGTACGTGATCCTGCGGGACAACCAGGGCTTCTCCAGGGAGCTGGCTGTCTTCCTGGGCAAGCAGTTTGTGGATCACTTCCTCTACCTGATGGACTCCTGTGACTACACTACAGTGAAGATGCTGTGGATCTGGGACAGGATGTCCAAAAGACAGTACCGCTCAGAGATCCACCAGGCAGCACTGGAGATCGACCTGTTTGGTAACGAGCATGAGAACTTCACAGAGAACCTGGAGAACCTCATGTCCACTATGCAGGAGAGTCTGTGCACCAACTGGGCCTGCCCGGCTCGCTACCAGGAGTTCAAGAGCACAATCACCATCAGGTATACTGCACACAGACAGTTTAATATCCTGATGCTACAGTGTGAAACTTGATGCAACTTTTCCCATTTTCATTCTGTGAACATTAGCACAGACTGTGTGTCAGGAGCTGGGTCAGGTTTGCATCACCAGCAGTCTGTATCAAATGTTATAAATAGCAAGAATCCTTATGGACTTTGTCCCAGCAGGAAGCCCCTGTCACCACTTTACATATTACTAATGGTTCAGCTGCTGCACTGTGGGTTTCATTTTCACCCCTTGACCCAATTCTCACCCCTTAAAAATTTTCCCACTGTCTGTTTGACATGACATAGAAAGTGCATGCATCACTGTCTCCACCTGTTTACGTGCATGCATTTCAATTCACTCGTTCAGCGCACAGTGCAGAAACTTACTTGTCATAGTTTGGGACTGTTCATTATTTATCAGAGACCCTCCAAAGCTACAAATATTTTTCTTTGAGCATCCCTGAGTGACTGGGGAGAAAAAGGAAGCACCTTCCTCCACCATAACTAGGGGCCGGGCAGCCTAAGCTACCAGGACCCTATTGTTTTGCTGCATGTTCTTCTTCTCCTGAGGAAATCATACTTCCCATGCGTGAAAAATCACCAAACGTTGCACAAAGGTCCAGTCCCATGCCAGATTGCCTCAGCTGCAAAAACAGGCCAATAGTCCTGATGGTGGCGCTACAGCAAGCCTCTAAAGTTCAAAATTTTGAAAATTCACAACAAATCAACCATATGTGCTACAGATTTCCAACTTTCACCAAAATGTAGCTCCAATACTGAAGAAACTTTTATACATTTAAACCTATTGCAAATTATGAAGTCCATCACTCTGTTTTTTTCAAAAACTGTACAACATATTAAACCTATCTCCTCCCACAATTTTTGCTCAATTGACACCAAACTTGCTACAGAGCATCTTCAGACTGTCCTACACAAACGATCCACACAGATTTTTGATTTATCGAAAATTGAGCCTACAGTGCATCAAAATGTTTGACTGTAAACGGTACTGTAAACATATACTTACAAATTCTTGCTAAATACATTTTCAGTGTTCATTAAAAAAAATGACAAAATTTTGGAGTCATGGTAGATGATGTTTGGAAAAAATCAGAATTTTATCTCAAAAACTGAATTTTTTACAGCATTTTGAATTTCGCTCTCATGCGAACAATTGGAGTCAATGCAAAAATGGCATTTTTAAACATCAGTTTTTCACTTATGGAGCCAATAAATCATTGTTAAAAACAAATTACCAACATCTCCATGCTGTCTAGATGCAGTTTGTGTATTTTCGGATTTTTGTCTTAATAACTCAATTTTTGACAGCCGTTTGAAATCTGCCTTTACACACTAACAGCTGCTGTCTTGCACACAGGTGACTGGCTTACTCAGTTTGTGAAGTTACATGTGATATTTCTGTTTGCCAATTAGCTCAGTGAGATAGAGGCTAGTTCTTGGTGTTGAAGATTGTGAGTTCAAGCCTCAGCTTGTGCAACATTTCCATATGAGAAATCTACCCAAACTTTTCATAAAGGTCCAGTCCCATGCCAGATGTCCTCAACTGGAAACACAAGACAATAGTCCTGATGGTGGCGCTACAGCAAGCCTCTAAATTTCAAAACTTTGAAAATTCATAACAAATCAACCATATGTGCTACAGCTTTGGAACTTTCACTTTGAAATTTGCTTTTCCGTGGCATGGATGGCTACTGTCTGGCACCCTTATGCTTGGCTTAGTCAATTTGTGAAGCCACACATGAACTGTCACTTGCTAGTTAGCTCAGTGAGATAGAAGACGGACCTCAGTCTCAGAAGTTGTGAATTCAAGCCTCAGCTAAAGCAGAACGGACATTCTAGTGTGAAAGGCCTATGTTCAGGCATCATGCTATGTGAATTAGAGACTACCAAGGTTAAAATAATTATGATCCAGGCAGTTTTGAGACAAATACTCTTTATCAACACTTTTCCCTGTTATCCCTTGTCTCTTTTCCCTGTTTATTTGGCTTAGCTATCAGTCAATATGCAGAGTCTATCCAATAGCTACTTTTACATTGTAAAAAATGTTTTCATCTTTCACCATGGATAATGTTTAGCTTTAAGCTAGATCAGGCCAGTTTGTTCATAATTGCTAGCAGTTAATGTTATTCTTACTTTCTTGTTCTTGAGTTTTTTCTTTCCTTTCTATACTATGAGTCTGATCACTTCAGCCACTCACCCACAATTTGAAGGGCATGCCATAATTATATGATGTAACTTCTATGTTGTGATATGCTTTGTTTTAGTAAGTGTGTCGCTCAGAATGGCCTAATTTTGCCTAAAGTTGCCCGGCCCCGACCATTGCTGCGCAGCAGCTATAATTAACCATATTTTTCCTATTCCTATTAAATATAGTTATTGGAGCCAATGCAACGAGCAGACAGCAAGTAGGGTGTGAGAGTGACTTGACATGGTGGCCGTTATTAGATTTTAAAAACTTCGCCTTTGATAATTGAAAGTTAAAAGTTGAGAACAAAATCCTGGAGTTGAAATATCACAATTTAAAGCTCAGCTTTTGTCACTCTCCTGATAGTTTGTCTCACATAGTGTGTTCAAGGACCGACAGAAATGTGAAAATCCAATGACAATTTCTGTTTCTACAGTGTCTGGCTATGATAAACTGTAATTTTGGCATAAAACCAGCTTGGGGGTTTGGGGGTTCAGAGGTTAATTAAAATGAACGTTAAATATAAGCATTTAAATTTTCATGTCCCTTCCCTAATCTTAAATAAAAACCTATGTCTTTCCCCAGTGCTTAAAAAATTATTTATGCCTCCCCCGTTTTGCACCCCCCACCCCCACCCCCCTCTCTGAAATAATGAACAGTCCCTTAGAGGTATTTTCCGCTAACAAAGTAGGTCAGGACTAGTTAATATGTTGTTGTTGGATGGTCTACGTGATTTCCATTTCTTATGATCTCACTGACATTTTTCCTCCCAGCCCTCCTCATGAGCTGCCTCACAGAGACCCCATTCAGTCGGCCGTGGACGAGTTCTTCTGCCCCAAACTGCTGCTCTGCTCAGAACTGGGGTGAGACACAGGGAGGGTGTTCATTATCCTGTTGTGGTCCAATCTTAGTCCACTTCCTTGACTAACTGATGATTTATTTTTTCAAACAGGTGTGGTGGTCTAAGGGAGTTCTCTCAGAGGATTTTCTGCCACGGGCCGCCACCATTTGTCATTCTCAACATGCAGCTGTGGAAGTCAGAGGCGTTGTCCTATGTTCCTTACCATCTGGCTCTCTGTCAGCACAGGTATGGAGCTTCCACAGTGTTTCCATTGGGTTGGTATACAGTACCATGCTTTAGCCACACTGTGTTGCTAGTTTAAGCACCAAGAGATAAAAGTAGGATGTCTCCGTATTGGTAAATCTTCTACCACTTTTTACTCCTGCTGTTCTTTGACACAGATCAAAGAGAAAAATATGTTCTCGCTATTATTTATGTACTTATATACTGTAGTGTAATGCATTCATCTGAGAAAAAACCTGCTCTGATTTTCTGAATTAACTAGATTGTCAGAATTATAATATGTTTTCATAAAAAAATAATCTGCTCTTGTTTTCCTGGATGAATAATAATATTGTTAATTCAGCAAATGTGAATGTGTGAGATTATTATCACTTTAATTCAGAAATATGAGCAGATTTTTTTCTATTAAACCTTTTCTCATGATTCTGAGACATTTATCTCACTAGTTCAGAGAAACAGAGCAAATATGTTTTTCTTAAGTGAACATGTTAGGCTTCTGCACTCTTGCTTTGATTTTCCTGAAAAGTGTAAAGGAAATAGTTTTAATATCCCTTTCTTCCACAGGTATTTGCTAGAGGGCGCCACACTCTTCAACAAAGAGGAGCATCACTACTCTGCGGCCTTCCAGATAGACGGCTGCTGGTTGCACTATGACGGCCTGAGGAGTGACAATCTGATCCTGTTACACAAGCCACCAGAGCTCCTGCTGCTGTCCTCTCTGGTCTACATCCGCGCCTCCGACAAGTGAACTCATTTAATCACAAGAGTAAAGCATTCATCCACCCTTCTTCTGATTGTTCTGTCAAGACTCCATTACATGACTGTGATCAAGTTTCACTACTTACTGCACAATCAGTTTTTTATAATTGATTCTTGTCAGCTGTTGCTTCCTCTGTTACTGTAGCTGTATGAGTGCTGAATGACACCTGCTCCACTTCAGGTGAATGCTTGCAGAAATGCAACTGACTTCTTTTGGGCATGCTTGGAATCCAAGAATATAATGGACTATAATAGTTCTGGGTTGATATGCATAAATGACAATAGCAGTGAGTGATGCACATTGTATGCATATGACCTGACACAGGGGACATCGATAGGATTTTCATTGTGGTTGTTAAATGGATTACACTCTTGAGGGAATGTTTGCTATCCAACTGCCTTGTATAGGACAGACTTTATATTACATTACCATCACAATTTTGGCTTTTACATGTATGTGTATCTGCCTTTTCCTTAAATTGAACAGGTGCTTTTTTTCTATTTACACTGTTTTGAGGATAAGAAACAGCTGAACAATGCCAAGGACCATGTCAGGGTTACTTTTTTATTGTTAAGATGCATAAATTCATGGCAAGCATGGCAAGTGTTTCATGACTGTTAAGATACAAAGTTCTTAAATTTCATATAAAGGTTGAAGGCTGTCTAAAATATTTCTCTTCTTACATTACAAGCTTAAATATTGCCTGCTTTGCTTCCAGGGCACCAAGCTGGCAGCATGTTAATGATACATTCAAGCATTTTAAAGGAACACTTCACCTGCAAAATGATCATTTGTATATCAGTTACTCACTCAGTTATGCTAAATCTGTTTAGAGAACTGTTTTTCTAGCAAGCCACCAGGGTGAACGGAGAATCCAAAAAAAGGCAAGCCTTCATGATGAATTGAAGTCAATGGGGTCCACATTTTACAACAGCTAAATTAAATCAAAACATCCATTTATAGACTCTCACACAACTTGCGCAGTGTAATTCAAGACTCCTTTATCCAGTCATATGTTCAGTGCTTCCTAGAGACATGCATATTTGCTGACAATGTTACAATATATAACACGTCCTGCCCACTAATAGCGTGCCCTGTGTGTATGAGCTCCACTTGAGCAGAGTTTAAAGGCACCAGCGTCCCCAGACACGCTACTGAGACTAATCGTACTAACGTGTTTCAAATCGTAATGTTTTAGTGATAATGCATGTTTGGGAATTGCTGACCACGGTACTAGGATTATACAGACTTGGAGTAATACTGCACGAGTTGCGTGAGAGTTTGTAAACGGATGTTTCGATACAGTTTTGGTGTTAAACACAATAATTCTGTTCACTTCAATTCATGAATATTTTGTATGTTTGGATTCTCCGTTCATCATGGAGGCATGCAACACAGTCTGTTCACGAAATAGTGTTACACGGGGGAGTAATTGACACACAAACGGTCATTTTGATGGTGAAGTATTCTTAACTGTATCTCACCACACACTGCTGCTGCACAGGAACATGTTTTCATGTTATTTTTTTTTTATAAATGGTCTTTAACCTTAAATAATTTCTATTATCACAAAGTGCCTCTGCCAGGGAAAATTTTGTTAAAGTGATTCCTTGATTATAATTAATTGTGACTTGCTCTTTTTCTATGGAGAATACAAATACAAATATTTTGGAGTAAACTCGCATTGATTTCATTTGTCGCACTTGCATGGCATGGGGTGTGTTCAACAAGAGCCACATGAAAGCAGACATTACCTTTTAAGGCAGGCATTTATTTTAAACTGGGTACAACTGCACCACACAAACTGACTAAAATGTATGTAAAATGTCTTCAATCAAAACATGATAAAATGTGAAAAGCTACTGTTTCTACACCTAAGGTTATCTTGTACTTCCAGTATTAATCCACAGGATATAAAATTCAAGATCGTCACCTTATCTCCAGACACACAATGGGAAATGTAAAAGAAGCAGAGTGGTCATTTTGGCTAACATTGACATCAGTTTCAAAGGATTTTTTTTCTTCTTCTTTCAGACACAAACATTAGAGTGGCAGTCCATTTTTGCAGACCAGGTGTTAGTCATCCATCTGCTCTCTTTGAACAAGCACTTTGGTGAGAGTGGTGGCAAAAACATGACATTGGTTAGGCCATAATGAAAATGCGTACAAACTCAAAATTCTCAGCATCCCTTGTTTTTGCAGATTCACGTTTGCAGATTTTCATCAGCGTCTCTCCGAAATCCATGAAAGTAGTTAATATACACCTCAGAAATCATGACACTGAACATACACGTATCGATGCTAGATGAACAATGGCTGCAGCACATAATTACGCCTGCGTGATTTGTGCTGTGGCTGTTAAGTGACTGACAAAATAATCTAGCACAACAGACAGGATTAGCAAACAAAATCAGGTTATAAAACAACAAACAATACAAATTATGAATACAAAAAAAGTCATTCACATATTTCTAAAATAAAATATTTGCACAGATACATCTGAAATCAAAAGGAAATGACTTTACATGGGGATGCAAACAATCTGCAACAAACTACATGTCTCACCAGTGACCAATTTGCAAGGCAATTAAGAGTTCCCTAATCATTTAACAAACACATCGGGTTAAACTACAAGTGGAAGAGCACATGTCCTTTCAATGTTTACAAGAACTACATGTGGTGAAAACTGCAGAATTTTTAAACAGGTGCACACCCCAAATTTGGCCATGACTTAACCGTGAGCAATCCGCCTGAATCTGCCTCCATCAACACATGCCTTTTACAAATGAACCAGCATGCACAACAAAATGACAACACAAAATGTCTGGCAGGATGAGGCAAAGTCAGTGGTACCAGTTGATGTTTCATTAGACGTCCACACATTACCAGCCAACAATGTGAATCAACAGACATGCCGTGTGGGGTTCTGTTACAGCAATATGAGATGCCTTGGCTTTTTAAAGAGACAAACACAAAACATATTCATCCAGAGAGAGAGAGAGAGAACAGAAGTCTTATTGCATTATCTAAATGCCGTTATCCTAAATTAAAACATATGTACAAATTACAATATGTATCAAAGAGTTTGGTAAGTGCAATGCAGAGCTTGGTTAAAGTTTCCACTTGTGTGCAAACGTCAGTGCACGAAGCAACTCAAACTAGACTTGAACGTTAAGTGACTCGACAAACTACACCTAGCCTTTCCCCATCTAGTGCCCCCTCTATTGCTGTGCATTGCTTGACCTGTCCGTCGGCCTAGCCCAAGGCTGCACAGGGTGACACCCTCAGCCAGCCTGGAGTCACGAACACCCAGGACACGGGACTGGTAACAGTGGGAACATGGCCTGAGTTGGCTGGCACAGCCCTTGGTGCTTTATTATCCATCTCCGTATGACAGCATGGAAGAATGTCATGCTAATACGTTAGCAATAACGACAGGAGGGAAATGTTTCGATTGTGGCACAAGAAGGAAGCTGTTTCTAGCACTGGAGGCGGGAAAGATGTTAGGGGAAAAAAAAGGGTCATGTTTTGGCACTTCACATGAAGCTGTGAATGGATTACCTCAAACCTGATCTTGCAAGCAAGACCGTGGCCACATGAGGATCACACGTTTGGTAGCGAGTGAAAAGAACAGGTGTCAGACCCAATCACAGGCGAAAAGTCTTGTTCATATCCAGGAGAGTGACACTGTACCGGGAACGGGCATTGAGACAGTTACAAAGCATGCTCATATCCAGCAACAGGGCTCATGTGAGGATATTTTAAATTAAATCAAACTCATCATCGAGCAAATTTTTTTAGGCTTTTTAGATTTGAGGACAGAAGTTAGCGGTTTTTCAACCACATTCTTCCCTTTGAGTAGGACTTTGTTTTATTGCATGGTTGGGGGCCATTCAACTTAATGCATTTAAATGCGCATAAATCAAATAAGTAACATCTTACGCAGTAATGCAGCAGAGGCTGAACAGAGGTTGACCTAATTGTGTGAGGCAACACAGACAAACAGCTGAATCCTGAATCCTAAATATAGCACCAGTTGGTATTGTGTACAGACCAAAGGGTGAAGAGAGGGCCAAGGTCGATTTCAACTATTGTGAAGACTAGCAAGTGCATGACCTGACCTTAGGAAGATGTAACAGAAGCTAAAACATGGTTGTTGTTTTTTAAATGGCTCCGAGGATGAAGCAGAAAGTGGCGACAAATGCTCTCAGGAGAGTCTGTCACTCACCTCTACACCGACCCTTGGAATCAAACTACGCACACATCCGCACGCACACTAGTGACCCAGTGCAGAAAAACATTTACAGGCAAATGCACTAGAGGATATATTCATATCTATATATTTTATTTAGACTATTTACAGGAGAGAAAAAGGCAGCCCTTTTTGAAAATAGAAAGATTCCAACTTTTCTCTTTTTTGTGAAGCACTGATTTTGATGCAGAACTCCTGCGTCGCTGAGCCCGAGCATCGGCTCTGCACCCGGACACGTAACAAAACAAACAATCCTACCTGACATGCATGTACCCCTCGAGCATACACACGGACATACACACCACATGGCCAACAACCACATATTCATACAAATACACCAGCAAACTGCGGTGTTCTACAAAATCTGAACACACGGTTCCAGTTGCAGCAGGGAAATTAATTTAAAAAAAAAGATTTGAGTGTGGAAAACAATTAATGGCATGAACGAAAACAAAAAAAATGTCTGCTAACATAACAGAATTTCGAAACAAAAAGTGACAAGTTTTCTCCCACAGTCCTCTGGGAAATGGCTCAGAGTCCTCATTGTGGTCCAGCAGCAGTAGAGCGGTCGTCTCCTCGGGCCCGTGACAGCAGCCGTCCGATCATCTTCCTCTCTGTTCCCGTACAACTTCGCAGCTCTTTCTCATCTCTGCAGCCACGTCTGCGGTCCCCCCTCTAGCCAGCCAGCTACCCCGGCACATCCATCCACCCAGCAGGCTCTCGCTCCTCTGGTGTTTACGTCGGTGTGCAGCGCTCTCCTCTGCACCTGGAGGATGAATGTGGGGAAGGAGGAGGAGGAGACAACAAAAAAGAAACGTCTTTGTGTCTAAGTTCTCTTATTGGGTCCTAGCCGGCTGGGCCATGGGTCAAAGGGCTGTCAGACCAAAGTTGCAACGGCAATACATCATGCCGCTCGAGTCCAACCAGCTGTCTGAGATGGGGTCATAGCGCTGGACAGTGTTCAGGTAGGATGACCCGGAGTGACCTCCCACCACATAGAGGTAGTTGTCCACAATAGCAGAGCCGACACCTGTAAGATGATGTCACAGTGATATGCAGCTAATTACATACATTTCTCACCATTTTATAGTACCACTAGGGATCACCAGCATGTACAAATACACATATGTAGGGTTTGTATGATGTAAACTTACCAGTGCGTGGTTCATTCATTGGCCGACAGGCTGTCCACTGGTTCTGATGTGGATCATACCTCTCAATGCTAGACAGATGCGACACTCCGTTGTGCCCGCCCACCACAAATATGAAGCCAAGCATGACGCCAACTCCGAAGTTGATCCTCTTGTCTGCCATGGGGGCTACCATTTCCCAGGCATCCTTGCTGGGGTCGTACCGCTCCACGCTGTGTGGAGAAGATGCAGCACATTAAAGGTCTAGTATGTAGGATTTAGTGGCATCTAGTGGTGAGGTTGCACATTGCAACTAAATGAAACCCATGTGCCAAGTGTTAAGAAGACCTGTGGTGGCTGTTGTGACAACGCAAATGGCCCTATCTAGAGCCAGTGTTTTGTTTGTCCATTCTGGGCTACTGTAGAATAACATGGCGGACTCCGTGGAAGAGGACCTGCTCCATATGTAGATATAATCGGCTCATTTTAAGTTAACAAAAACACAATGATTCTTAGTTTCAGGTGGGGCTGGGCATTAAACAAAATAATAATTACCTCAATATATTTTTGCTTGATAGCGATATAACAAATGTCTGATAAATTCTTCATATAATTAAACCACCCATATGCCCATAGAGAGGTCAGTAATGCACCTTAAATGCCAGTTTCCACCCGTTGTTAACCAGAAGAAGAAAGAGCAGCAGAAGCAGCAGCAAAAGAAGAAGAGACCGGTCAGTAACGCGTCCAGTGACATTATATCGTTACTATGTTCAACATGTTCATAAAGTTATTTTTTGGTATGACTGTTTTAGATGATGGATGACAACGCAGCGCTATCCCACGACTGAATTCACCACATAATGTTAGCTGCAGTAGCTGTATGGGTCGACTCTAATGCTACTGCTGAGTTAGCAAGTTAACTTGACCGACTAATTGTTTTTTTCACTAGAATAATATGACACAATGTGACTAAAAGTAACATGAATAAACCTTTAATTCATTTTCTCGTCCGTAAACAGGATTTATGCCTCAGTCACGTCAGATGAGTTTTCATCAGCAATAACTAAACCCACATTACTCCACAACATCATCAAAGTCTGTCTTTTTTTTATTGTTTTGGTGTAAAACTTGTACAGAAAATACTAATAACAGTTGAGATCTTTGTTTTGCCTATTTATTCTGTTTACACTGTGGGCTAATACACTTACAAAATGTTTCGTCGGCACAAAGAGTTCAACATGCTCCTGACAATAATTACAATTTCTTTGTCATTCTATTGTCTTATTTATTTACGGTATTTCCATAAGAATTGTTGTGAATCTACCTCAGATTTGTGAAATGTTCTGCTGTTTGGCAAGTGTGTGTCATGTCTAGTATCTTAAACTTTCACTCAGGAGCAAAAATTAGCCTTTAAACTTGAAAGAAATGATAATTTTGACTTCTTATTAGATTATTATTGATACCAACTGATATGAATTGTGTTTTTGTTTGTTTTTTTTTTGTTTGTTTTTTTTTTTTAAATCGGGATAACATTTTTAGCCATATTACCCAGACCTAGTTTCAGGTATCTATAAACTAATTAAACCATATTTATGAATTCTGTATTCCATTTCTAACAATATATCCCCCCTAAATCCTAAACACTGGACCTTTAACAAAACACACCATGGTTTTAATAATCCAAATTCAAATTGAGGCGACCTTCTAGCCCAGCTGAATGCTGTACTGATTTAGCAATTTCAAGAAATTCTATTTTTATGCCATACAGGTATATCTGGGAAATCTAAAATCATGTGGTGTGGTTTGAAAAACTGTCTGACGTGTTGTTAAGGATATGCAATTTGTAGTTACTATATAATTATATTACACTGCTTTGTGTTTTTGTACTGTTTGTTTATTATATTGCTTTGCTTTTTTAGATTACTTATATATTGCTTTTTTCTACTGATGCTTCCTGTTTGCACTATCCCTTTGCCGCTGTGATGTTGCAAATTTCCCCACTGCGGGACGAATGAAGGATCTTATCTCTCTTATCTTGTCCACAACATGCAAAAACACCTATGTACTCTTTCAAAAGCTGCATTTCAGGAGCGGGGAACCTACTTCACATGTAAATTTAAGTTAGACAGAGTTGTACCTTTTATTGGACTGATATTTAGTCATATTTAAATTTAGTTTTTATTTAACTACAAACAGAACAACAGTTCATGTGGTCTGATCACAAACACACACACATGCAGTGAAACTAGTGACGGTGTGACCAACAACAGAGGTGAATTACCTAATCTGACCACAGTCAAACGAACCCCCTAACAGCAACTGGAACATTAGCAATCAGGAATTGTTTTGCAGCATGCGAGGACATATAAGCCACTGGGGAGAGGGAAAAAAAAGTCCCCAAAGATTCTCTGTCCAAACACATTCTCCTGAGGGGTTTCAGGAGTCAAGGAAACGAGAAACAGAGACGCTGCTCTCTAGAGATCCACAGCAACAACAGAGGTCTAACCAGCAGCACACAGTTAGGCAACCACTCTCAGAAACTTCAGCAACCACTTCTGTTATGATTCCTCTTCACTCATTCACAGGGCCCTGGCCATTTTCTCAGCAACACTTGACATCCTTCACTTGATTACCAGTTCTATTAAATGACTAACAAGACCTTGAGAGAAGGCCAGGTTAGGAGGTCTGAAAGAGCTGCGAGCTTTTCACTGACTTAAAGACTATTTTATAAAAAAGGTGTGGTAGAGCGCCGCAACCTTACGATACTGATGTTAAATGTCATCTGTAGGAGCAAAGAAAGGTTAGTTGTGTGTTTTGATCCTATGTGCAGTCTTTACATTATACAGAAACTTTAATGAAAGAGGTTAAAGATGAAGGGAAAGGTGAACCATATCATACATAGAACTGAGCAACTACAGAATGAATGATTTAGTATCTGAATTCAAATCCTTTAGTTTTGGCAATTTTATACAAATTCACAAGTTGATGAGATAAACTAGGACACAAGTTCCTCAATATTTGCCATATATAATGTTTAACAGCCCATAACACACAGTATAAAACGTAAAACAAAATCATATCTACTATCAGTGGTATTACCTGTTCATATGGGCCGGGCCATAGCCTCCGATAGCATACACCATGCCATCCAGCACAGCGGTGGCAAAGCAGCTGCGGGACTTGGTCATGGGTGCCACCGGCTGCCACTCCTTCAACTTGGGGACGTATTTCTCCACCGACTGGAGGTAATACTGGCCATCGTAGCCTCCGAGGGCATACAGCTCGCCAGCCAGGACCACCACCCCAAGCGTGCTGCGGCACTCGGCCATGCGCTCCACCGAAGACCAGGTGTTGGTTTCAGGGTCCCAGCTCTCCACTGTGCTCTCGTGCCTCCGATAGCTGATGCCCTGTCTCATGTGTGTGGCGATGCCTCCTACCACATAGACCTTGTGGTCGAGCACTGCCACTCCAAATTCATATCGGGGTACGCTGAGAGGTGCGAGTCCTATCCACGAATCTGTCCGAGGGAAATACATTTCTATGCTGCAAGAGGAAGACATAAACTGTCAGATTAGTCTGTCTTTTTTTAAAAACAAAAAACAAACAAAAAAAAAAAACACAGAACACAAGATATAGACATACAGAATTTGAAATATTGTCTAGACATTATTATTATTACCTTTCTAATGTTGCAAACAGTCCAGCCTTGCCTCCTACTGCAAGCAGCACCTTTGGGGCACACCTGGGCCGTGCCGACAACACAGTCTGATAGGAGAGCCGGTGTTCAGGCATAAAATGATATTTGAGGGCCTCGTTGAGCAGATGCTTACACGCGTGGTCATCTCGTATAAGGTGGTTGGCTTCATATAGGCGAGTGAGAAATTTGACGCTGAGGAGTGGAAGGCGAACACAGTGCAGCAGCTGAGCCAGATGCTGCTGTCTCTCAGTTACATCGTATTTGATCCACGACTCCAGGGCGTAAAATACAGTCTCCTCTGTGACCACCTTAAGGCAGTCGTTGGACACAATTTCATCCAGCTCGGCCCTCGTCAGTTCAAAAAACTCCTCCGTCTGACAAACCTCCTCAAAGTTCTCACAGATGAACTTAGTTGCAGCCAGGCACAGATCATGACAGCCGTAAGTCTCTGCAAAGCGGGAGATGCCTATACAGTTCCCAGCATCCAGCTGGCTCTCTAAAAAGGAGCAGCACTCCTTAAGTACTAGTTTAACCTGGAGTAAGTCAGCAGCCGGTAGCAGAGATTCCACTGTTTCCTGGGAGATAAACACCGTGCCAGTGTAGGCATACTCAACGATGGCCTGGAAGAGAAAGAGTAAAAACGTCACATAAACAGTAACTATGGTACAGGAGTTAATCAGTGTCGTTAATAAGGTGTATGCTGGCTCCAAGCGTACCTGCAAGGCTGTCTCATCGATGCACTGGAATTCCACCTCAGAGGTCTCCTTTTCCGACAGGTTACCCGTGAACATGGCCTTGAAGTAAGGGCTGATGCTGGCCAGCACTACTTTGTGGGCATGGATCTTGGCATCACCCACGCGCAGAACAATGTCACATAGTTCGTGATCCTGCCGCAAGAGCTGGAGGCCTTGCAGCAGCTGCTCTGAGTGAGGCCGTTTCAGACTGGCAAACATATAGGACTGGTCCTGCTGGTCCATCTGAGAGCAGGGATACACAAATCAGTGCAGTGTTGATATTTCATAAAGAATACTGATGCAGTGAAGTTTTCTGAATAACTGACATGCGACCAATAGCCCATTGAAATACTGTAAATGCTGTAAATTAACCATTTGTTGTCTTGTCCCTGTGACTACAAACCTGAGAAGTCAACAAAAACCCAGGCCTGTGCAACGTGACGTAATCACAGCACGCGTTAAGGAAACATGCCATGGTAGTATGATGCCTTCAGGGATGTTATGTAGTAATACAGTGGTTATTCCGACCCGCTCTGTCATCTACTGTGAGGCAAGCTAAAGAAGCATGATCTTCTTAATCCAGTGCTAACGCTACTTGAAGTTAACCAACCATATTTACTAGTATATACAACATTTTTTTGGGCTAACTTCAAGCAAACAGCTCTGACATTCAGTCACAATAACGGTAACTGTTAGTTTAGTTGACTGGGGCCTTGGCTTGATTTCTGAACGGAGGACATGGCCAGATCAAAACTCGCTAGCTAACGTTGCCTCTTAGCTTTACAGCAGCAGACCGCTAGTGCGCTAGCTAACAAACTGCAAACCCCAAAACAGCCTGGGTTTTTCAGAAACAAATTTGCCCGGATATCATATTTACGTTGACACCAACACCCATGTCACTATCGTATCGTCAACAATGTTCGCCTCCAGCAAATACACAGCGCCTATATCCGTTTCATTGCACTGCAGTCGGCGCAGGTTAGCTGCTAAAAATAAACACGGTTACTGTGGCTAGCTGCATCATTGATTGATATACAGTAACATGGCTGACAGATACAAAACGTGACGTTATAGCTAGCTGTCAGATAACATTTGTGTGTCGTCGAATTGAGGAAAACAAACCTGTAACCTATAGTCCGTCTGTTGTGCCCCTGTGATGAGCGATTTTGCAGTGGCGGAGTTCAGCGGCGACGAGTGGGAACCCCGGGTGGCTACCAAGAAAACAACCTACTGCCAACCTAGCCACAAAGCTACAGATGAGCTCTTATAATAACCAGCTATCAGAGCAGCACACCCACTTCCGGTGGTTTCAAAATAAAAGCATATTCACAGCTATTTCTAAGGAAAAGCTACATTCATGTCATCGAGCGATAAGCCAAGAAAATATGTTACAACAATAGCCAACTTTACTAGTGTTTTTAAGAGGAATTCTTAAAATAAAAAAATACATATATTCTTAAAAATATTAATTTAATAGTATCAAAAGTTCCCCATTAACATCTTAAATTCAGTATTTTTGTTTTGGATTTCTGGCTAGGCCTATATATGATGTAAATATATATATTTTTTATTAAATTTTCAGCATATGTAGATAGATAGATAGATAGATAGATAGATAGATAGATGAAACTGTATAATATAATTAATAATAATCTAATCTAAGATAAAAATAAAATAAAATAAAATAGAATTAAATAGAATAAAATAAAAATAAAATAAAAAATAATTATTATTTAGGACAGTTGTAATAGGCTAAGGCTTCAGCCTTCAACATTTTAGTAAACATAAACTTGCTTTGGTTTGTCACTGCTCAAAAGGTGATGACATATTATTGTTTATTATTATCATTTTACTTATTTGTGTAGGCCTATAAGTTAGGAAATGGCCGAAGTAAAGAAAAGTAAAGTAAAGTAAGCTTAACTACACTTAACTAAAGTTGATGTACTTACTTATGTTCATTATTTACTGTGCTTTATGTTTCATGCTGTATTTTATATGCCGGATGCCAAAGACATTTCATGTAAAATTTAATGGACAATAAAGTTATACTACAGTGTAGAAATACTTGGTTACAAGTAAGGCCCCTGCATTTTAGTAAAAGTACAAAAGTATTAGCATCAAAATATACTCACATTACCAAAACTAAAAGTACTCATAATGCAGGGTGGCCCATTCACAATCCTATATGTTATTTAATTCTAATTATTGATGAATTAATGTGTCTATCACTTTAATGTTACATCTGGTAAGGGTAGTGCTAATTAAAATTGCTCTATGTGCTGTTGCTGGGTGGTTTAAACCTATAAGAATATAATGTAACCTATTTGCAAATTTAGATTATTGATACAAAATATAAATAAACTGAGTAACTAGTAACTAAAGTTTTTAAATAAATAAAGTAAAGGAAAAAAAGTACAATGTTAACTTCTGAAATGTAGTGGGGTAGAAGTGCATACACAAGTAGCATAAAATGGAAATATTCAAGTAAAGTAAAAGTACCTCAAAATTGTAGGCTACTTAACTGCAGTGCTCTTGCTTAATGTATTTAGACACTTTCCATCACTGAAAGTGTTATTATATGTGAGTCTGTTATAGCTGTCAAAAACTGTGAAGGAGTAAAAAGAATGATAATTTTCCCCGAAATGTAAATAAAATATTGCATATAAAGTTAACTACATTTAGACTAAGCATATACAAATAGTGTTGTAATTACAGTGTATGAGTAAATATGCTATTTTCATCGTTCGTCGTTGTTTAAACCTTTTCCATTGTTTCTTTTTTTCTTTTTGCATTAATAACTATTTTATTATTATACGAACCTCATTTGTGTTTTATGGCATTTGGAAAACCATTCTTTTAAGTTCTATTTTTGATTTTCTATTAATACAATCGCGGATGTGGCAAATAAAATATACTATATTCAAAAATATATTTGGGAAAATGTAGACTCATTTAAATCTGAGTAGCACATGTAACAAAACAAAAAGTCAATAAGCTACATTTTTTATGGGAATATCAATATGTTTTATTCCTGCACAACTATGCAGCTTTAAATATATTAACACTATCTTATCTATCACTATCTTATAGTTAATCTTATTTTTCTATTGTTATTTTTGGCTGTGTTTATTTTAGTTTCCATCCCAGTCTCCGTGCTGTAGCTCTGTGGTGATGATACCGCCTGGAGGAGCCTCGACTCGCGTCACCATGGAAGCGCTCAGTTTGCGACATGTATTCGCCATTTTGCTGCCTCAGTGTGTGTATGTGTATGTGTGGGCTCCTCTCTGTGTGAATACCTCTGTAGCTTTCAAACATTCAACACTCCAGACACCAGCTGAAACAACCACGGAAAATGTCTGCACTTAGGAGAACCGTAGCTGCCGCACCATGACACGGACATTTGGACGACGTAACGTTAGATAGTATCGCCGCGCGTCAAGGAAGAGGACCGGGGGAGAATGCGAGGTCTGTTTTCTTGCTGTTTTCCTAACTTTGCTAGCCCAGTCAGCCAGCACTAACCACTAACACAATTAGCGGAGCAGCGAGTTAGCTTAGCACCGTTTGAGTGCAGTTAACAGTTAGCTCGGGTTCTGTGTAACGTTAGCTAACTCATGTAGGCTGCTTAACGGTAACGGTGTAGTCAGGGATTGATTGTAAACCCATTGAAGGCATTAGTATCGTATAACTGGCTGAGTCTTCGACCGACACACATATTAAATAATGTTACAACAGCGGGGAGTAATGTAACGTTAATACACAGCAGCTAAGGTTATCTAAACCTTTCTGCTGATAACTATCGTGCTTGACAGCCACAAGTGGTTGTGTCCATTTGCGCTAATCTACCTTAGTTCATGATCGATCATAGTGTTAAGGAGCAACAAGACACTCCCAGGCACTTACATGCCTGTGTGACATGTTTAAACACATTATTATTTAACTCTAAGCAATTGGAAATTGATTCAGTCATGTGTCCACTGTTAATTTTCTGCTCTGGCTTCACAGCTTGACAATCAGGAGAGTGGTTTCCCATCACCAGCCACTCAGGATGACAGCACCAAGTAAAGAGGAGGAATATTATTGTCCTCACAGGATTGTGTTCGCCTCTTTAAATTCTCAAATCTGACCACAACCACAAGACCACCAATAATGATACCAGGATTGATCTCCCAGGAGTTACACGAGCTGCTCCTGGACCTGAAGAATTACCAGAATCGCACCAATGGGGTGGAAGATCTCAAACACATCCTCTCAGAAGTGGACATGCAATCGGTCCCGTCTGGCAGTATTGAGGAGTTCATCCGTTTTCTCCCTCGACTTCTGGATGACAGTAATTTTAAAGTGTTGTATGGCACGTTGCAAGTTTTAAACTTACTCATTCAGAAGCTAGATACAGGTGTGGATAGATATTTCAAACAGATAGTCTTAGTGGCTCTGAAGGCCCTGGGGGACACTCGCACCGTCACCAAAAATGAATACATGAATGTGTTTCGACAGCTGATGAAAACTGTTGCACCGCAACAAGTGTTGGATCTTGTCATCGGCAACTTGAAACACAAGAATTCAAGGGTTCGGGAAGATGTCCTTAACATCATCATGGCAGCTATGCTCACTCATCCTAGAAAAGATTTCAACATCCCCAAGCTTTGTTTTGACGTCGCACCATACCTGACAGACAGCAAAAGGAAGGTCCGCCACGCCGCCCTTGAGCTGTTTGCTGTTTTGGACTATTGCCTTGACACAGGGAAAAAGCAGCCTCTAATGAAAGCTGTGGATATGGTTGAACTCAATGAGGACGCAGAGGGTCTTATGGCAGCTGTACAGGCAAGACGAGCAAGGCACGTCCTTCCCAAACTCTCCCCAGAGGGGATAGTGGAGTATGGCTTGGTGGTCCCCAAACCAGGACATCGGAGCTCAATGCAGTATGGTTCTGGAGCTGATCTGGACTGGGTGATGAACGGAGGGCGGGTAAGCAGTGCCAGGAGCCACAGAACTGAACCAGACTGCGACCGACTCTATGGCTATGGCAGCCTGGGCTCCCTCACTGATGACCTCCCACTTCAAAGGAGGATTGTCAGCGCGGGTAAAGGGAAGAACAAACTACCCTGGGAGATGTCAAGCTTCTCATCTACCGAGAATGATCAGCAATGCAGTACCCCGAATGGAAAGTGCTCTGAAAAGGTGGGGCCAATCATCACCGCCGACTTGCCATATTCTCACTTATCTCTTGTGATAATTAAGCCATCTGGGAATGTTCCCGGATTTAGCATATGTTTTATTAACCCTCAGATTCTCTGTTGAAATAAGACTCACAGCTTAAAGGGATATTCTGCTATATTCTAGGTTAGTTTACCCAGGGAAATAATGGAAATATTGTCCCTCTAGGTAAAACTGATTGGCATTAATGAAGCAGCTATTGAATCAATAAGCTGTGTTCACTTTTTTCCCTCTAAAAATACTTTGAAATCCAAAGCAAATAGAGCTTAATCACCATTTAACTGCCTGCACAGAGTGTTTAGGAGCACCAGAGTGCTTTTCATATTGACTTTGAAATTACAGACCATCTCAGTGGTCAAGCATTTGTGTTGAATTGCTCCCAATCAGCCAGCAAGTGCAATCATTGAAAAAGAGGAGGGTTTTTTTGAAAGGAGGGTTATTTTTGTGTGCTTGCCTTTTCTTCCTCCCTTTAGTCTTGCTTAGTTCACAGAGGATTGATAAAGTTAAACCTTGGTAATTAATCTTCAAAAATCTGGGGCGTTGACAATTTGTTTACTGTCAAAATTGCACACTCTTTGTGTGAACAAGCTTAGTCACACCCAAAGGCAGCCATCCAAAAAGAAATCTCTGACTTTCGTCAGAGAGTTTGGGGGCGAAAAAACCTAAATATAGTCAAGATGCAGTATGGATGGAGTGCAGCAGAGAGGGATAGTTATATATTATATATGTTATTACACAGAGATGTGCAGTGTCATCTACAATCAACCTGTTTGTGTGAATGATTGCATATTGTTAAGACAGCTTGTAATGATTGATACTTCATGAGATGTTTTCTTTCTTCTTTGCATCTTTCTCTTTGCATCATTAGAATTGATTTTGTATCTATTGGCAGGTTAACAATAGGCTGAATTGTTTTGTGAATATAAGGCTCTCAATTCGTTATAAACAGAGAGAGGAATAGATAGGTAAAATCTCAGAGCACTGCAGGATCCCTGATACTATTCCTGGAAGAAATTCAGTAGGTGACTCATTTCCCTGCACAATGACACTGTC